CTCTCAACAGAGTGGAAGTGGTGAGAAAGGCAGATAGCACTTTAGCGCTTATTGAGTGCTTATTTGTGTATGTCTACCCACTTTCCTCTCTTCAAAGCTACCATTCAAACATTTAAAGTATTATACATGTATATATATTCTTGATCCCCTCATTCATCTCTATTAACTCATATATCAATTAGCAAGATGTGCCCACATCTGAGATGACCCTTGTGCACTCTAGTCTGGCCAGCACACACAAAAGACAGTGCTGCTACACAGGCACATCTGAGTTTTACATCTTCTAATGGTTACATACAGGTAGTGTATACTAGAAGTACCTAGATCTCAAGTTTCAGCTCAATACATAAAGTGTGGAAGGCTACAAAAATCAAGCAAGTTTTACTTCAAAGTTTGAAATAAACCCTAACCCCAGTTTGATGGACTAGTGTAATGTTAATACACTTTACATTCCCACACCTTAAGGTGAAGTTTTGCGACGGTGCTGAAAAGCTCCCAAGGTGCCAGTTCGTACAGGATGATTCTTCATTACATTTAGAAATTGTAACAGTCGCAATTGTGTCTGGGGTTGCATCTGATATCTTGCGTTTACGAGAGCCGGTGGATGTTAAGACACTACCAGCCTGAGAGTGGGTAATCACAGATGTCTTAGCATCATAGAAAGGTTCAACAAGGAAAGAAGGCTGCTTTGCAGCTAGAGAGAACACAATTCTGATCATGGACATTGTGACATCCTGGTCAAAAATTCCCAGTTCTTGAGAGTCCATGGCATTGAAAAGTGATATTTAAATTAGACCCATAGCTCTTGTCAAGTTTCACCTGTATCAGAATTGCACTGGTTGCAGCAGGGGAGGCAGTATCTCTTCATAGAAGAAAGGAGATTATGAAGTTAACACTGGAGAAGCTGTTGGTGCATTTGATTTCAGCACCTCGTGCCATGCAGGCAAACAGATGCCACTGCAATACTACCTTTTGGCTCTTGACAAACATCCAGTGAGTGAAATGCATTAAGCTTTGAGCAAATGTGGTACAAAGATTGATAGCATTGGCAGCTGAGAACAACAATGTGTTTGATGGCAGTGCCATTGGCGATCTTCTGTATTGACAAGGTAGCATGTCTCGAGTTGCTGAGGGTAACAGTGCCTCGAGAAAGTCTGTGACATGGACTACACCAGCAGCAGGTGCAGGCAAGGCCCTAGCTTTGTTCATTGCCATCAGAAGGAGTAACAGGCTATAGCTTTGCCTCTCTCCTCTCAATTCACGGCAAAGTGATTGAGCTGTTCGAAAAGAGCAAGCAGAGAGCAGAAGGCAGGGTCATGCATGACTAGCTGTGCGCCCAAAGCCAGAATCAGCTTGGATGGTGTTTCAGTTACAATACCTACATGGTTGTTATGGGTGCGCAAGAGTATTCGCAAATGTTTTTCAACTTGTTTGACTTCTTCAGAATGGAGGCTGGTGGGCATTGGTGTGAAGTTTAGGGGAAGCCGTGCGGAGAAGCAAGCAAATTTTTGCTGCTTGCTGAGGTTCTTAACATCAGCAGGCTACAATCCATTTAAAAGCTTCTCTGCTGCAAACTCCACAATGCCCCTCTTGACCTCATCGTTACCAGCAAGGTATTGTGTGGCAAAACTTCAGCAATGAGGAATATTAGCAAGCCATGATTCTCTATTAGAATTGTGTCTCACAGAGGACGCCTCAAGTGGACAGCATAGCCTATACCTGTTAATTCGGTTATCTCCATGCCGTTAGTAGCAATTTTCATGAACTGATCAAACTCCATGTGAATGAATGATGAGATGGTATAAAGCTGTCTGAGTTGTAAGCATCTTGATGGATTATCTTCTTGCCTAACCAGAGAAAATTGGAATATTTCGCCAGTTGTGAAGGCAAAGACAGTGAAGATTGAATACAGGTGTATTGTGTGTAATGCTCTCCTCAATTCTCTGAAGTAGGAGTACAAATTTTCATTTTGCATACTCTGCATAGTGGTAAGTCGATGGGCTTCATCGAATGAGAGCATTAGGAGTACTTTGTGCTACTGTGGCAACGGACCACTGCGATCTGGGTTGCTGCAGTTTTAAAATGCACCTTGGACTGGCATTGGGGAAATATCACAGCCAAGACTCAGCAAAAGTCTTCTAGACTTTTTTGCTGCGCTGTGAAGGTCACGGAGTGACCCAGCTTATCATGATATTCATATTTTAGTAAGTGGATTTTTGGCTTTATGTCCATATATAAAATGATACTTGCCAGGAAGGCGCCTATGGCTGGGTGGTGAAATATCACACTCCGTGTTATTTTCTTGGTCAACAGCAGGAGGATGGTTGTCTTCCACAAATGTCAATAGCAAGGTAGAACAGTGAGTATCCAGCTAAAGACAAACATGAGTACTAATATCACCATTATCTTATTGATACTTACATTCTCAGCATCTGCAACCACCTTGTAGTAGAAGGACTGACGTCTGCTCCTATGCTGGAGTTCATTCACTGTGCTGATTTCATACAGAGCAGTAATAACTCCATTGTAATCTGTCATGGTGGAGGCTTCATGCAGTTGAGTGTGCAGATTGCAGAAAAGTGAAGTCAAAAATGTCACACAGTGGCTGTACACTGCTTGCTGAGAGGTGGGAATGTCAAAATAATTCCGGACATCAGTATCTGCTGGTGGATAGTGTTATGATGGGCATGGTGGCATGAGATATCATTTCCTATTTTGTCTCTGACTCAATTCTAGTAGTACTAGTATCTATTCACTCATAGAGCACAGCTTACTGACTCACCCGCAGTTCCTTTGACTAGTAGACTAGTTTCTAGGTTAGGCTTAGCAGTAGTATATATACCCTGTGCATGTACAGTAGTTCCCCAGCTTTCAGCTCTTTTGTATATTCACGTTTCTTTATTCTGCTCTAACCTCATCTGTGGATAAGACAATCAGACAAGCTTCAGGCTTGCTAAGAAACTGCTGTCATAACATTAGCTGAAAGCTTCTCAACAAGGCGAACCTAAGACAGGTTCATGCCATGAAGAATAGTCAAGACAACTACCCCACAAGCAATCAATGCAAATGACTGCGCCGCAGCAGCACACAGGCATAATCTCCAGCCTGACGATAGGCTCGACTACCACCAATACAACACAGAACATTGGAGAAGGTGTTTTGAACAACTTTGCTCTCACCGATACAATGCAGACCTAGCACCTACCTGAGTGCCACAAGGACTCGTACTTTGTGATCTGGCACATGTAACCTTTCTTCAAGAAAGAGACAGGCTTAGAGAAGAACAAGTCTGAGAAGCAGCCCAGCAACCACTACCCACTAGCGTGTCACCATTCAGAACACATATGCCACACTCATACGACCAATCTCACAGACACAGCTGAGCACCCAGCAGGACAGAAACTTCTACCTCTATCAAAGTAGATGACAAAACACCTGAAGTACACCAGCAAGAATCACTCCAAGTACCAGAAATCAGACATGAACCATTTGACATTTCTTTGCCAAATCTCGACGTACCAATCCCACCTGAATGACAGAAAGAAATATCAGCCTTTGCTGTAGGAATAATGTATAACTGCATGAGTTTGGCCACAAACTGTAATGCAATAAAAGCCCAGATTTGCCATAGGCTTGTAATGCATACTTTGGCCTATTCTGTGGCTATGGATCACCTTATACTGTAGGACTAATGCATTAATTGCCATTAATAAGAGAGTTAGCTTTAATATGACATATATAAAGGGTGTTGGCATCATCTGAGTTTGAAGGTAGGTATGTGAGAGCTTTTTAAGCAAACAAGCCTTGACTGAGTTTAAATAATGATATAGTAAGCCGCTCAATAGAATGCAACATAGAACAGCTTAAAAAACATATGCTATATTTGGGCGCTTATTTTCGTTTTTGGTCAAAACATGCAGAACATATGTCAAAACATAATATTAGGCCTGCTATTTGCAAAATACTCGCTAGGAGCTAACTCTTTTTTTGGATATATATGGTAGTGCTCCTGGATTTCATATAAGCGCCCACCATGGGAATCTAGCTTTTGCAGGGCATTCCACATGCTATCTTGGCTTTCTCTTTGAGAGAACCTTCAGAGCAAGTAGTAGTATAGATATTCATGTACCATAGGAGTATATACATGGATTTGTAGGATCTTTGATGGCCTCCACACCATACTGTGCCCCAAATAGTGTTCAAACTTGAAAAAGGCCACCAGAAACAGGTCTTCTTATGCCTTCTATAGAAATTAGAAAATATGCGGATTGTCCTTAACACATGTATATATGATATAAAAGTGTGGGGAGGAAATCAGAAAGGCTTAGAAGCATGAGAAAATGTACACAGAGGCTCAAAACCCTTAAAATGCGAAGGAATACAAGCTTGTTCACTCTCCTGTGCTCTCCATACATGTTCAAAACTTGTACCAATATTATATACACTGCACTTACATTGGGTAAAGATGTATAAAATTTTTTGGAAGCTTTCAATATAGAGAGAGTGCCAATATACACCTTTTAATGTCAAAAACATCGAAATCAGGCCTCAATACACTGCAATGTAAGCCTACCAGGGCTTGCATCTTAAAGGACATCTATTCCAGCTAGGAGTATGCTATTCAAACATGTTGTAACCCTCCCAGGTGGTGACCCATCCCATACCTATGTTGTGGAAACCAGGTACACACTTGTGCCAGTTTAATGCTTGCAGAGTGCTCAGAATCTCATCAGCATGTCATTCCTAGGTTAACCAGTACACTACATCCCCAATACATGTCCTATAGATCTGAATATTTGTACCTTACTGTTTTCCTATGCTAGGAATTGATTAGAAGTGGTCCGCTTATCTGAATCTAAGCCATTGAGCCTGTATGAGGCAAATTGTAGTCAAAACAGCGAAAAAGCGCCCATTTCCCATGGTCAAATCTGCTAGATCGGACAGGTTCCAAGGCATGGGATCAAAAACTAAATATGTGCGTTTGATAATAGGCTTTGAGCAAGCCTTCACAGCATAAGAAAACCTGTGATCTGCCTGTTGTGGGCGTAGCCCCAGCCGCCTATTATTTTTCCATTTTCCCTGATTTTCCCTGATTTTATCCATGTTTGTACGACCCTCTAAATGTTGTCAGCGCTTTGGCACTAATTTACAAGTCCTAGCCGCGCGCTAACACCTCAGGATTGCATTACCCACGGGCACACATCAGCGCATCAAAGACGCCTGCATCGCAACCACTTCATTGCCGCATCTATCACAACTCCTATACTCATCTTACTGGTAGACTTGAAGGGTAGGACTTGAAGTCGAGAGGTGTAAGTAGAGAGAGATGCAGATACTAAGAATCAACGAAGTTGTTGAGTCTAAGGTCTTAAGCCTCAGACGACGCTCCTTATATACAAGTAATCTAAGATCCCTGACACTACGTAGGACCTATGGTACTCTACATTACAAAGTGCTCATGTGACTACTCGTGACTCGTTACTAATACACTACCAATATGTTTAGTAATACGGGGGATAATGACCGTTGGAGTATCTCCATTAGGCTAAGCTATCTACCAGGTGACATCATTCATGATGTCATGACATGTGACTGGTCTAGAACGAGTTCTGGACTTGTAGTTATCTTATCTACTGATCCCATCATATCTATATGATGATCTATGTCCCGTGATATGCATGTGACCGTGTAGGTCACGTGATCGTGTTTAGCGCGATGATGAGCGCTAAGAATATAATAGGCGCTTGTGTAGGGCGAATTTGTGACAGTACCCCCGCCTTAAGACTCGAGCTCCGTGGAGAGGAGTTATTTGCCTGTTGAACCAAATCCTTTGTTTCCTCTAGTGGTTTCATCAATAAAACCCACTACTTCAATATCGACCTGGGCTATCCGTTCGACTATTAACTGTGCAATACGGTCATTTGACTTTACTTCAAAAGCGATTTCGCTGTTGTTTACGAGTAAAACTCGTATCTCGCCAGTGTAGTCTCTGTCAATAACGCCCGCTGCTATGTCTAGTCCTTTAACTGAAAGGCCACTTCGTGGTGCGATACATCCATATGTGCCAACTGGTAGTTGTAATTGCACTCCAGTTGGTATGAGTTGACGTTGACGTGGTTGTATTGTGGCATTGTTCAGAGCGTATAGATCTAAGCCCGCAGCTTCTTCTGAACCTCAAGTTGGCAATTTTGCCCCTGGTTGTAGTTTGACAAGCAGAGTGGAGTCTCTTTCATAGACTGCCATTTCCTGAATAGACATCATGTCCATTGTTCGCGCTTCATACGGGTCATTCCAATAGGAATTGACTATTCGTTTAGCGTGTTTCAAGTGCTCTGCTGGTTCCCATGTAGCATCTTGTTCACTTTCACCCTTCCATTTTACCAAAAAGTATGTTTTACGATTACGAGTACAATGTTGGAGTATTTTCTCAACTTCGAACTCTTCATGACCACCTTTTATAATTGGTGCTGGAGCCAATTTCTTTTGTCCCGGCATGGGTTCAGTGTAGGTGACTAATTTACTTGCGTGGAAAACCGGATGAATTGCCCTGTATCGACTAGGCATTTTCAATTTAAAAGTCACAGGCGTAATCCGTTCTATGATTTCGAACGGTCCCGCATAGCGTGGAGTTAACGCGCGTTGTGTTGTTCGGTAATCCCGCATGTCAAGCATAGCTTTATCACCAACTTTAAATGGTACGACTTGTTTTTGTAGGTCGTAATACCACTTCATCCGTTCAGCAGCTAATTGAAGCGCAGCTTTTGCTTGCTCTTGCGCCTCATGTCTTTTCTGCAATATGTCATTCAGGTCTTCATTTCCTGAATCTTTTACTAGTGTAGGTCCCATCCTTGGGTGTCGTCCATACTCTAGATAGAAGGGCGAGTGTTTCGTTCCTTCGTGAGCTAGGTTATTGTATGCGAACTCTGCTGTGCTCAGCAACTGTGACCAGTTGTCTAAGTTGAAGTCCACATAACATCTCAGATATTGTTCCAGGGATTGATTTACTCTTTCAGTTTGACCATCCGTCTGAGGATGATACGCAGTAGACATTGATGATTTAATTCCAAGTCTTTTGCACCATTCACGGAAAAGTTCCGCGGCAAACTGAGTTCCTCTATCAGATATGATTTGCAGAGGTAGACCGTGTAACGGGTAAACCCTGTCATATAAGACTTCTGCTAAATCTTTTGCTGAAAACTCATTCGTGATTGCATAAAAGTGTGCTCTCTTGGTTAATCTGTCTACTACAACGCATATAGCATTGTAACCTTCAGATTCTGGTAACTGAGTGATTAGGTCGACTGTGATTATTTCCCAAGGTCCCGCTGGTATGGGGTTCGGGTGTAATGGACCGAATGGTTTTTGTGGACGGTTTTTTATTTGTTGACACGTCTCACAACCTGACACATAGTTTTTACAGAATATAGACATGCTTGGCCACCAATAATTTCGCGACACAAGTTCGTATGTCTTCCATCGACCAGGATGTCCTGCCGATATATGATCGTGATGCATTTGGACTATTTGTCTTCTTAAAC